TTTTCCAGAGGGGGAGATTGATGGGGTCCTGGTGGTGCACCACCCAGCTCACTGACGTCACTGGAGCTGGGCGGGACACCGACAATAGCTAGAGCGTCCCACTCAGCTCCTGTTAACCAGTAACATCATTGGTTGCCAAGAGCTGGGCAGGACACTGGGCAGAGCGTCCCAGGTTGCTAAGAGCTGAAGGAGGAAATGTACAGTATATGGCCCTTACACATCTTCCTGTCCGGTTCTTAGCAGCCTGGGACACTCTGGTCAGTAAGTGGGCCACGTGACACAAAGAGATGCCACCTGAGGCAACAGCTTAAGACTGCCTCATTATAACGATGGCCCTGAGTTCAATGCCTACATTTTGTGGTTTCATCCAGTAAAAAGCCCTTGTTAATCAAGTATTGTAATTGCAAGGGAAGAATGCAAAGCCTTAAAAACTCCTTCCCCCCCTCATTGATAGGAAAGCAAATGATCACAGCTAATATTATTCTAATACATCACTTTTCCAATCTAATATTACATATCACAGCTAGATGAATCAGATTATGAGTAAAACAACATATGCAGAAATAGTACATCTGTATATATTAAAATGAAAACCTAAAATAGCAGATCTGTGGAACAGCTGTTCTAATCATGATTTTCTACTTTCCTGGAAAAGAACACCGAATTTAGAGAAAATAGAATATATGAGCATTTCATCCGCCAAGACTAATGTTTTCCACTGTAAGCGCTGTGACATTCAGAAGAGGAAGAATAAAATAAATACTGCACTTCATTGTGGGAGATGGGTGTTATAATTCACTTACATAACATTAATAGTGCCAGATTTCTCTGACGTAAGTCACTGAAAATCTTTTAAAGCTTTTAAAGCATACTTGGGTTACCATTAACACTATTTATTGGGGAACAGAGGTATCTACAGTATACTGCATGGCAATTGTATAACCTAATAAAATTCTACAGAGGATTGACACTTTATAAAGAAATCACATTTAGGGTAACAACATTGCTGATGTTTTAGGAAAATATGGATGAATGACGGATATTTTGGTCCACAGCAGCACATATTTTTAAAGGGGGTTCCATTCTCTAAAAACACTTGAAACATTTTCAATGTAGAAGAATCGATCTTGGTGCCATTAATTTATGGCACTGGAAGAATTGGTCTTTCACAGGGAGGGGGGTATGCAATAAAGGGTTTAGGTTTACATTAGATAGGGTTAGTATTTGGGTTGGGGGTACAGCAAGGGTGGACATATTAATATATGTCCACCCACCGCCAGCTCCATTGACAACAACTATTAGCTAATGTAGAGGTTCTCCATTGTGTGTTGGGGGTCAGGATGGCTTGCAATCCAGGAGCTGTGTCTCTTCTTGTTCCTTCTATTTGGAGGGCTAGCTGTTTCATGAATACATCTAACCTCCGGGTATTACCTCGCTGTAGATTTCCTTTTTTATACTTGCTAGTTTTAAAGTTGTAACCTCTATTTTTCAGAGGAACAATATAGTAAGACCTCGTTCAGACGGGCAGCAGACTCCCGCACCCCTCTAAATCTATATGCAGTGGGCTGTTTTTTCAGAGCGCGGTAGAGCAGCGGCTGCCTGGCATTCAGGAGGCAATACTACCACCTCCTGAATGTAATTTGTATTCTTTTTTTTTATATATCCCAATGTGGATTTTCAATTGATTTACAGGGTTATTCATAAAAGGGTGAAGAGTTTGGAGAAGTGAACAATCTAGTCCAAAATAGCTGATTTGGAAACATAATCCAGTTCAGCTCACTTTCCAGTTCAGCTATGTTGCCCTAGATTGTTCACTTCTCCCGCCTTCTCCATACTCTTCACCTTTTTGTGATTAACGCTGTTGATGTGTTGTATAGCTTTTAGGTGGGTGGTCAAGGGGCAGTGAAAATGCAGATCAGCCTCCAGTTTTTACTGCTCCCCTTGCAGTCCATCTGAACAAGGACTAAAGGAGTATATGTTTTACTTAGCCAAATAAACCTCTAGTCAGTTCAGTCATCCAGTCATGTGCAGGGAACTTATAAAAGTTGGATCTTCCCCTGCATGTAATTGGACGTTTGCCCAGAATATAACTGAGTGAAAAACATGCTCCTAAATCAACCTTGTAATGAAAAATCCTAATTTTCCTCTTGTAGTTATGTTTTTGCCGACCTGAATTTACATGCTTGAGAATTAACATGTACATTCTACTTCTTTCTCATATGCCATTAGTGTATAGGTCTTGTACATGTGCTGTATTTTTTTATCAACAGCTAATTTCGGCAGGCTGGGCGATTCTGCCTCTCCCCTTCCATTTATCAATCATCTTGACCACGCTAAGCAGATTGATCCGTGCTGGTGTGGTCAGTTTGCGTCCCATAGCTTGTAATCATGTGCTACAGAACACCATGCTGATGCACGTTGTGCCTGCGGTTACTTTAGGGAACACTTAGCAGGTGTTGAAAATGTGTCCCAAGCATCCTATTTTAGTGTTTAGTAGTTGTACTTAGCCGACCTGTACTTCATTTTAAAGTTTCAAAGTCCCGATTTAGACCTCTTTTACATGTGTGGCTCCCTCCAAAAAGCTCTATGCAGTGGATCGCTTTCAGAACCAGTTGACAGGTGTTCAGGAGGTGATACTGACATCTCCTGAATGCCTGTTTTTTCTTTTCCTGTTTTTTATCCCAGTGTGGATTTTGAATGCGTGGTTGACACACGGTTGTAGCACAATCTCATTGATTTCAGTGGTTGTGTTTGGTAAGTGGCCCATCTCCCAAATGCGACATGCTGTATACAATTTGTGTTTCCTCACAGCCCACAACAAGTATACATACCTGAGCAGCCACCATGTTACCGGTAGGTTTTATGTGGCAAATTGGATGGTGGTAAAAATGCGAATCATTGCTTCTTTTTACCGCCCGTGTTAATGAGGCCTTAGTTTTTTTAATGGGGTCTGACTTTCCCTGAATTCCAAGTCCTGCCAACTGTCATTCCACAGTCCAATTAGACTGTCATGGCCAGCAAGGGCTCTCTCTGTTGACAACAGATTTGGTAGTTGGTGTTGCTTCGCCATGAAACCAGACAAAGCCAATCCCAGCAGCAAAGTGAAACTCAATCAAAGGGGAGTTCAGAAAAAGCTAGTCTAGCTAATTACAGTAGTGGCAGGCATGTTATAGTATCTCCCCCAAGGCAGAACGTCTACTTCTAAAAGTTTAAATTGAAGTACAGGTTTACTATAAACACTATGTGGCCATATATCACTATGATTGGCGAAACACATACAACTCTGTAGTTGAGATCTGTCCAACATGACTATTGCCATTGCCCTATTGACACTAATGTGACTGTCCTCCCAGTCAAGAAAAAATCTATTAACACGGAGCATGAAAAAAGGTACATTTTTCTGTTGAGAAATCGGAACAATCATGCTTTAGAGATTTTCCATCAGGTGATGATTATCATTTGCACTCTGTTTATTAAAATCAGCCCATAAATTGTTCTAGGTAATCAATCAAGCCGATCGCTTGTATAAAGAACATTGTATTGGGTGGAATCGATCCAGGATTTATTGTGTCATTTTAGGACAACCCCTTTCATTTAAAACAAGTGTGATTTTCTTCTGTTAAATGCAGCAGACGTATTGGACGTATAACATGGTTATGTCTTCTTCACTTGCAGAGAAGTGGTGTCTATCAATCACTTCCTAGAGGCGGCTGCTGAGAAGGAATTACGAGGGAAAAGGAGACTCCAGCAGTTTATTGAGAACTTGCTACAACGAGTGGAGCTTGCAGAAAAGCAGCTGGAATTTTATCAGAACCGACAGATCAAAAACAGTCAAGCCAGCGTAGGAGATGCAGTGGTAAGACAGTGTGTATAGGCTCTCTTATTAGATGTATGTGTAGCAAATAGAAGACATTTACTCCTTTAGTCTGCACTGTAGGCACAACCCTTGCAGCTGCTTAGAAGAGTCAGTGGATCTGCTGCTTCTTCTGTTACATACTGTAGAACTCACAATGTGATGAGAACACAAAATGGAAGTGACAGAATTACAGGCTGAATAGACATTTTAAATTGAAACTGTACTTCTACAGTTACAAGTAAAAGACAATACAATTACAATACAAGTCAATACACAAAGATTCGGAGGGCCCTGCTCGTGAGAGCTTACAATCTAAAAGGGAGGGGCAAGTGATACAAAAAGTAATAACTATGAGGGAAGAGCTGATAGAGGAAGTCAAATTTCAGTTGTTGGATAGAGGCGGTATAGACTTTCCTTACAAAATGCGAATTTATGGTTCACCGAAAGGCAGACAGAGTAGGATATAGTTGGAGAGATTGTGATAGGGATTTCTAGTGGATGGGAGCATCTCTGGAGAAATCCTGGAGGTGGGCATGAGAGGAGGTAATGGGGCAATAAGAGATGAGGAGGTCCTGGGAGGATAGGACAGTTTGGGTGATATTTTGAGATAAGGTTGGTGATGTAGCTTGGGGCAGAGTTATGGGTGGCTTTGTATAATGTTAATATTTTGAACTTTCTTTTTTGTCTGCTGTTACCTGTCCGAGCCAGGAAAGCTTCTTCTGTGTCCCTCTCTGACTTAGTTTCACTTTTTTACATAGCCCCTTATTTTACCCTAACTTTGTGGCTAAGCCCTGCCAATTGACATTCCACTGGTCAAGAGCAGTGTCAGTGGAAATAGAGGATGGCAATTGGTGAACATAGCCATGAAATCAGGGAATGTCAGATCCCATTAAATCAGAGAGGATCTTCTGACTAATAAATAATATTAGACAACTTGTTTTTTATTTGATTTATTTAGAGATGTTCACATACTGTTTTCCCATTATCAGTGTTCTAAATTGTATTCCATGTTGTATTCCTGTGCTTAAAGTGTCTCTCTCTTCCCCTTAGAGCAGGTCCCGGCATTCCCTTTTTCTTTTAGCTTGTTCCAATACAGAGAATCAGCTTCTTTTTCTCTCCACGACATCGCAACCAGGATTAAACTCTGTTTTTAATAACATAGGCACATCCCAAGAACTACATTTCCCAAAGAGCCCTTTCCTTAGAAACAGTGTGTAGTCATGCCCTTGTGACCCAAGGCAGCAGCACTGTTTTGCTGAGAAGAAAATCAGTGTATACAGTGTACACAGAGAGGAGTGGGGGATAAGTGAAGTCCTGCAGTCCCGCAGACAGTGCTGACAATACTGCTAAGGATTTCAGTGCACGAAAGGATTATATTGTCAGTTCAAACAGGAAGTTAAGGTCACACTGTTTTTATAACAGATCAACAGGTATTTTTCTATACTTGCTGACCTTTTTAAGTGGATGAAACATGGGAAAATATGAGTGTATTGAAGAGATATACTGAATATGCGTTTTTTGTTTTTTTCCCCTCTGACCTACACTTTAAAGTGGACCTTCACCTTGAAAAATAACTGCTTTCCTAAACTTTCCCCCCTCCACGACAGGAAAATCCTCCCTTTTTTACCTTTTTTTTCCCTCCTCCTCCCTTTGTTTACCTTTTTAACATTTATGCTCTGGCCCACCCCCCGTCCTCCATTCTTACCTAGGTGAGAATAACGTCTCCTCCACTCTTGGTGCGACGTGCATATCCCAGGAGGCATCGGCTTCCACAGAATGAAAAATTGGGATTGCAGTCCCCTGATACAGCGCTACCACGAGGGTGAGGGTGATTGGGTATGGTTTTTTTTCCGCGCTAGGTGTGCAGCTTCTAGGAATGCGGACCGGGGTGTCCGACGTTTGTCAAGGAGAACAAAAAATGGGGATAGAAGCGCTACTACCATAAGGAATTGGATTTATGCAAAGTTTGAAAAACTTACCAAAAAGTAATAGCTGATGCGATATCATCGACGAGGGGTGAATAGATGGGGAACCTCCACTGGTGGGGATTATGAATCCCTCACCGTCTGGCTTGAAAAAGAAGACCTGGCTCTTCGAAACGTGTAGCCGCAACAACGTTCACCTGCCCACACTTGCCTTCTCACCGAGAAGCCCCAGGCGCCCCTGCTCGCACCCTCGAGCGCTGAAGTCACATCACTCCCACTGACTCTCCCGGCTCTGCCGCCTGCAGCGTCTATCTCCTGGCAATCGCCTATCACAGCCTTCTCCGCTCTCTCTGTGCCCGCCCGCCTCCAGCCGTCCTCTCTCCCCCTGACACACCGCTCGTTGTCTCGGGCTGGCTTGCTCGTGCCCTCGAGCGTTGGAGTCCCAACACTCCCATCAGCGATCCTTTGCTGGACACCTCGGGCTCCGTCCCAGTCTCTTCCCCCCCCCCCACACACCCGATCTGCCCAGTGCATATGCCCACACTGACCTGACACTTCCAGTCGCCAGACCCATCATTCTCAAGCAGCAACACAGTGCACACCAGCTGCACCTTACCCCCCTCAGTCCCAACATCATCCAATAGCCCATGTCCACCCGTGCCTGTCACCCCCCTCCCATGCACTAATCTGACCCAGGCTCCCACCACCATCCAGCACCCCCCAAACCCACAATTCCCCATGACCTTCCCAGAAGCACAACTGATTGTTCATAATCCCCACCAGTGGAGGTTCCCCATCTATTCACCCCTCGTCCATGATATCGCATCAGCTATTACTCTTTGGTAAGTTTTTCAAACTTTGCATAAATCCAATTCCTTATGGTAGTAGCGCTTCTATCCCCATTTTTTGATCGGCTTCCACAGAGCGGACGGAGGAATAGGGCCAGGCCTGGTGACGCACCATCGGGGTCAACTGCCTGAACCCGGAAAAGACAGTCTCTCCCAAAGACGTTAGGGAAGAAGATGTCGGTGTGGGACCCGGTGTGCAGCAGTAGCAGGCGAATCACACCAGCACAACACTGGATTCACTGGGCTGGTGAATATGTGAATTGAGGACCACTAAGCATTTGGTAAAAGTTAGTAGGTATGCATGATATTCCTGCTTACCATGACTCCATAGTACCTGTCTAGCTCTATCAATGAAAGACATGCATTAACCCTCTAGGAACACTCTCTTCCTTTTTATCACATTACTTTATACTGTCAGAATGTGTGTGCACTTAAAATTGATCATTAGCCATTCACTTTCTGTTGAACAAATATTTTGCCAGTTGTGCAGTGTTCACAGGTTTTGATAAAAACAATTTAAGCAAATTAAACCTTCCACTACAAGGGCTCCTCTCTGGGAGTTTAATTGGCTGTGTAGAGCCAGCCCTACATTAGCTCAGCTCTGTTTTCAGTAATAACATTCTCTTTCTGAGATGTCTTGCACTTTACTTGATTAGAGCAGCAACACTACACAAAAGTTACCCGTCTGTTAATGTCTCCTAAGACTGAAGATACTGTTAAAGTAAACCTGTCATGAGACCAATATGGGGCTGCCATTGCTGAACTTCTTCTAAAACGACTAGTGGCCTGGCTGCAATTGTAACTCACAGACCTAGAACAAGTATGCAGTAGTGCACTCCTAAGTCCTATTGTGGACAGACAACATGCAGCATTTGTGTGGATTGAGTGCTGTCAGCCTTGCCCAGTGTCTTTTGTTTACCTACTCAAACCCTCCCACTTTCAGATCTCTGCAACATAGACCCTAGTGTCCAACGTGAGGCCCAAGGGCAGCATGCCACCCTTTGGCACCTGTTTGTGCGGCCCTCAGAGTGCCTGCAGACAGTATGTACAGTATATTCGTATTTTAAAGCTGGAACATAAATGTGGGAGCATTCATTTGTAAAGGGGTTGTAAGTGATCTCTAGGAGTATGAATGTCTCATGAAGCATATACCCAGCCTGCAACAACTCCTATAGCGTTTCTGCTGTCTCTGACAGCTTCCCATGAAAAATCAAACTCACTCAATATTATGTAGTGGATGTCAGGGGCCACGTTTGAGAACCCTTATATAGAATGAGTTGATCAACATTGACATCGACACTAATCATTCTGTACTTCCAAGATAAGAACTAGGGAGGCTAATGAGTTTCCTTGAGATAACACAGGAAGTGAACACTGGACTCAGGAGAGCTTTAATTTCTAACATGATCAACAGGTATTTTTTGCACTTATCAAATGGATATAACCAAACACTTTCAGTGGTATATTAAATAGACCAAAATGTAGTAAATAGAAGTTAATTTTTTAGGTTTTCAAACACTTTAAGGTCAGGGGGAGTGAAAGAGTTAAGTGTGAGGTTAAAGAGGAACTTCACTCCCCCCTTACAATTTTTTTCCCATCTTTCCTTGTCCTCTGGGTTGTGCCCAAAAAACTTACTCACATGTCCAGTGAATCCAGTATTGTCTTGTGTAAGCCGCAACTCTATGGCAGCACACTGGGTCCCACACCTTCCTTTTAACATTATCAGGGGGCCAGCTGTCTCTTCTTGCTTCTTGCAGCCTGTCACTGATGACATGTCACAGTGCATACATGTGTGGCAGCCAAGTAGCCTGGTGGATGCGCAGAGCAGCAGAGATTGCTCAAAGCCTCTTGAGAAGCGCGATGTCAGTATGCTCGAAAGCTTTGGGTGCGGAAGGGACATCAGCCTCATGTGGACTGAAGAAAGCCAGTAGTGCAGGGCCGGGACCCAAAAAAAAGTACCATTAAAAAATAGTTAATATTTGATTGTTTAATGGGGTGGGAGAAAAATGATGGCAAGTCATTAAAGAAGTTGAATGTCCGCTTTAGGGATATATGTTAGGGGTAGGTAATAAATGGGGTATAGGGATACTTACAGTAAAAAAAATGTTCCCTTATTTTTCTTTGACAACATTTCTGTTCCCAAATGGGCTGTGCTTCTGAAACTAAAAATAACATATGACTGGACTGAAGTATCATCACATATAACAAAAGGTGAATTGCATTGCTTGTTGAGTTGACCTGTGTTTGAATTATGTTTCTTATATACTTACTCTACTCAACTCTACTTTTGATTTATTACAACCCATATCTGCAGTGCAAATGATGATTTCTGAGAAATAGATTTGAGAGTAATGGCTGAGCTGAAAGCTCCATTCATTATTTTTGGCTAGGAAAGGTATAGTGAGATTATACAGACTTCCGGGGAAAAAATTTAATGGACATTTAGTCTGTAATAGACTATAATACTTTTCTTTGCTGATTTTTGTAAACATTACTAATCCATTTATGGTGCTTTTTATTTTACAATTTCCATGGAAAACATAAAAATGCACTAGTACTGGATATTTTGTTTTTCCTTTTTTCTAAAGGGGACTAATCACTGATTTCAAAGTAGAAAGCCAAGTAAATCATGTGCTCTAGTTTTGGACAGAGTGGGAGGGAAAAAACCGGTGAGACATTTAGTGATGTCTGTATCTCTGATTTCCCCTTGCTTTCTGGGGCACTTACAGTATCTCACAGGAGTGAGTACACCCCTCACATTTTTGTAAATATTTTATATAATTTCATGTGACGACACAGAAGAAATGACACTTTGCTACAATGTAAAGTAGTGAGTGTACAGCTTCTATATCAGTGTACATTTGCTGTCCCCTCAAAATAACTCAACACACAGTCATTAATGTCTAAACCGCTGGCAACAAAAGTGAGCACACCCCTAAGTGAAAATGTCCAATTTGGGCCATTTTTATGTTTTCCATGGAAATTGTAAAATAAAAAGCACCATAAATGGATTAGTAATGTTTACAAAAATCAGCAAAGAAAAGTATTATAGTCTATTATAGACTAAATGTCCATTACATTTTTTCCCCGGAAGTCTGTATAATCTCACTATTCATTTCCTAGCCAAAAATAATGAATGGAGCTTTCAGCTCAGCCATTACTCTCAAATCTATTTCTCAGAAATCTTCTGTGTCATCACATGAAATTATATAATAAAATATTTACAAAGATGTGAGGGGTGTACTCACTCCTGTGAGATACTGTACATTACTACACACCTCTTCTGCTTTCTTCTCAAGCTCTATGGTAGTTGGTTCTCCCAAACTCCCTAGTGGTTAGAGGGGCCATCTATTAAAGTGAACAAGCAATGTTGTGGTAAGGCAGGGCTGGACAAATCCCAGGAGCCAAGTGTCAGGACCAGATGCTAGTGTGCCTACCGGTACTTGGACGCACCAGAACTTATACTATTCTCTCTGTCTATCAAGACAAGTACAGGACACAAGATACTAGATGGTACAAGATTCAGGAAAGTAGACTGGCACTGGATTCAAGACAGGACTAACATGTACGATACAAGATCAAGATATACAGGGCAAGATAACGGCTTGTGCAGACAGGACTAGACTGAACTAACACCAGCCCAGAGCCCTGGGCCTGTGATTGCCACAAGCAACCAACATAGGGAAATGAAAGCTTGTGACACACAAAGGAGCATTCAACATGCTCCTAACACCAGGTAGCCTAACTTTTGAGGGCTTCCCTGGTGGTTGTCAATAGAGATGGCTATTAAAAAAAATCCTGCTGGCTCCTGGAGTGGACTGACTGGCTCCTGAATTCAATATTAATTTGTCCACCCCTGTGGTAAGTTTGCGGCTAGCAGGGGGATATGCAGGGATCTAGAGACACCATATCTTTCTTACTATTCTATTTTGAGCCCATAGATGTGCTAGGTCTATGGTACCAGGATAAAGCAGTTTTACTTACCTGATCACCACTCCCCTCCGGCATGCGGTGCTCTCCCATCTCCCCTGCACTGTGACTTGTGTACTGTCCCTCAGCGCCCTCGTATATAATGCAGGGCTATGGGCCCTGTATTGTACATGATGATATCAGCAGGCCTCCGACCAGCAGAGCATTAGAGAATAGAGGCTGCAGGTGCCGGTCATAGAACCTGCAGCAACAGGGATCAGGTAAATAAAAGCCTTGACTAATGTATTCTAAACCTAAAGAAGCAGTTAACCTGGGGACGGCCCCACTATGAGGGAGTTCCATGTTATCCCTGCAGGTAGGCATTAAATGCAGGTCATGACGTGCTTCATGGCACTTGATGTAAGTTGAGGTGCATTGACATGCAAAGCAAAGTACATTGTAATGTGTCTTGTCACATGTTTGGCATCATGCATTTCTATTGATTTCAATGGAAATAGGACACATTCACAGCTATTCATTTATAGCACATCAAAGCATTTACACCAGTTAGTCATTATTTCAGATGGTGATAGTATCATCTGTGCAATGCATTTTTGTGTGCTGTCTGCCTTTTTTAACGCACTGATGTACAATATAGGACCAATTGGTGACAATGGAAGCACATAAAATTAGGGCTGCAACAACTAATCGACATAATCGATTATAATCGATTATTGAAAAAGTTGTCAACTTTTTCAATAATCGATTAATCGGCTTCCGATCAGTTGGCCCTGCTTCCAATCAGTTCGCCCTGTTCACGGCTCCACACGCACCTCCTCCCCACCTCACGCTCGCCGCTGCCAGACCCGCTCGCTTCCACGCTCCACACGCCGCACCTCCTCCCCGCCTCACATTTCCTGCCCATCCACATCCACGATCGGCACAGGGACGCGGGGAGATGTAGTAAGGAGGAGCAGGTGTGGGGGGATGACAGCTGCTGATAGACAGGTCCGATCTCAGAAGCACGTTGCTGGAAGACTGCACTTTCCCACACATGGTGCTCTATAATGTATTGCTGGGATTTGTATTTCTCTATAGCTGATGGTACATTGTGCTGTATATTATACATCGGAATACAAATCCCAGCAATACATTATACACTGTATGTATAATGTATTGCTGGGATTTGTTGTACTCCTCTATAGCTGGTGATATTCTGCATTGCGCTGTATAATGTACTATTGCTGGGATTTGTTGTACTCCTCTATAGCTGGTGATATTCTGCATTGCGCTGTATAGAGGACTACAAAACCCAGCAAAAGCACATTATACAGCACAATGCAGAATACCGCCAGCTATAGAGAAATACAAATCCCAGCAATAGTACATTATACAGCGCAATGCAGAATGCCGCCAGCTATTATGTACTATTGCTGGGATTTGTTGTACTCCTCTATAGCTGGTGATATTCTGCATTGCGCTGTATAATGTATTATTGCTGGGACTTGTAGTCCTCTATAGCCGTTGCCATTCTGCATGCATTGCTGTATAATTTTACACTTTCTATTTCACTATATTGCACACCACACTATCTTTTTTTTTCTTTTTTACTTCCACTGGTCCAAGCTTGCTCCTGTGATGGACTACAACCTCAATACAAACTAGTAGTCCATCACTGGAGCCATTTTTTAAACTTTATTTTATAGTTTATCCGATTAACCGATTAATCGAACTTAATAATCGGCTAACTAATCGATTTTGAAAATAATCGTTAGCTGCAGCTCTACATAAAATGCACGATTGTTAATAACACACACGGAAAGGTGTGAATCCAGCCTAAAATATAAATAGCATGCTTTTTTTTATTATTTTTTCTAGAAAGCTTAACATGTGACATGTTTCTGGCTCTAATGCGTTTCTTTGCTACTAATCATATGTTCACATGTTCTTTAAGCCAATCTTCCTCACATATTAGATATAGGTAAAATACAACAATCCCTCCATTAAATGTGACATGTCCAATAGAGCTATTATTAATTAGGTTCATTATTTTTGTTCAAAGATATCGAACCCTTACTATGTCTTCTTCTTGCACCCCTCTGTATAGGCTATATTGGCATGGGGCATAAATCCATCCCTGCCATTTTTATAAACATTAGCAGTGTCCACTATATATGGAATTCAAATGTTATGCAACTCTAATGATAAAACAGAGTTTGTTTTGCAGAATCTGTAACCCAAGTCTTATCTAAAATGAACATTTATTTTACAGGAGACATTTTTCTTTCCCTTGTGATGGTGCTAAAATATGATCAGCTGTCTATTTGGACTGTATATGTGTTTACTAAGTTTATATCCATGTTTTAAGCATGTAAACTCTCTGTTTATTTCCACAGGTTGTACATTTTCAGGCAAGCAGAAAAAACAAGTGCCTGTACGTATTTGAATTCTTTATTTCCCGTTACATTATTTGTAATATTCTATTGTTTCTGTTATGTATTTTATCGTGATCCATTTGTTAATACTCTTCTAGGGTTTAACAAATAAATCATACATTAAACTGCCATTGATGTATTTTTCTTTTATATGGAATAGAATTTGTCAATCACTGTGTTTAAAAAAAGATTCCTGGAAAGTGTACATGTAGTTTGGTACCATCTGCTAATCCCAGCTCTCTTCATGTTGAAAAGTAGCCAACATAAAACGTCAGATAATACCCTTATGCTGAAATTCCTCTACAAATATTGATTTTCCAAAAGTCGGTATTTGCAAGGCTTAAAGTGACATTAAAGTCAAAAATCTTTTTCCCTCCTCCCAATATTAATGTCATCACTTACCTTAAATGATGTTTCTTAATCCGATCTTCTTCTTTCCTGTCCTTTTCATCTGTCCCTCCAGCGCTGCTGAGGGTCTCAGATCCAGCGCTGCCTCCTCTGTCCTTGCTGGCACTTCCGATCCAGCGGGGTCTGCATGCTGGTGCACGCGTCCATATACTTACCTTGTGTCTCTCCTCGCGTCCCGGCCGAAAATGTGAACTGCACATGCGCCCGCCCCAAGATACTTTGCGGCCGCCCCAGAATTTTCACATTTTCGGATGGGAGTGCGCAGGGAAGACACAGGTAAGCATTAACCCTTTTCAAAGCGTTTTTTTTTTTTTTTACATTTTTTGCATATAACTACTGCTTGCCAGCAGTAAATATATGCAAAAAAAATTGTTAACAAATGATAATTGAAATCCACATTGGTCTGTGCATGAAGGGACAGTCGTGCAGTAATCGAATGACGGTTCGATGAAGGCATGAAAAAAATCTAACGATACTTGTAAGGTGTATGGCCACCTTTAGGCTTATATATTGCACCCTATGTGTCACTATTCTGAGCTGGGTGCAAATTGCTAAGATATGAAGCTTATTTTGTTCTGGGTAGAAAGAGGAAGAATGCACTCACTTGCCTTATACCCTGATAGTGTTGGTTTTTCCAAATGATTCCATTGCATCGTCAGGAGGGGTACACTGAGTCCAAAGATAAAATGTGGCACTTTATGGTGCCTACTACCTGGGGGGCCTAGAGCAACAGATTTTATTAGAGCTCCGGCTCTTGAGAGTTGAGGATCCAGTGGGGGATTTCAGGTTTTTTTTCAGGTACGTTAAGGCTTGGGTCATTGGGCGTTTGCTCATGTAAAAACTGCTTCCCTTCCTGTACAAATCTTCGACAATAGAATAGCACACGGGTAGCTAATTTGGGCATTCCAGCTGTGGTGAAACTACAAAACCCAATCATTCCTCTGCTTTTGGGAGTCATGCATGTGCCTGTCAGTCTTGCAATGCCTCATGCATGACTCCCAGGAGATCTGCTTCATCTACAGTGAATTCTTAGTGATCTCAGAAGCTTCTCAAAGACAAAATTTCTTCACCTATCAACACAAGTCCAAAGCCCATAGGCACAGGCTGCTGATCGATCTATCCAGGCAGTTTCAAAAGATTTCTGCAATGCTAATGAACCAACTAGCTCATTCTGCAGTTTGAAATCACATGACTGACGTAACAGAAATAACATTTTTAAGCTTGGCATATTGGGTATCTTTTTACCTGGCACAACCTCATCTTTTATATTTTGCAAAACAATTGGTATTATATTGCGTTTTTTTGGCACTAAAATTAACTTAATAATAATAATTATATATTATATATATAAATAATAATTAATTTAATAAAGAGTTGAGCTAATATTTTGCAACATAGAATGTTGTAACTGCCCCATTATATTCTGCAATGTCTCTGCTTTCAGAAAATATATAATTCTGGAGGGTGTTAAGTTTAAGTAATTTTCAGGCCTAAAATGTGGATTATAACATCTGTGCAAGAAAATGCAAAAACAGATGTGTCAGTGAAAGGGTTAAGGTAAATGTGTTAGCAAGCAATGTATTTAAGAATCTAACATATATGTTCTATTTTTTAGCAACCGAGGGAGTTTTAATCTGGTAAATAACATGCATGATGTCAAACCTCAGTCTGCACAGAAAAGTCGCAGTTACATGAATCGCGTGGGCATCCAACCAATGAAATTATTACACGAGTCCTCGGAAGGTTGCCGAGAAGTATGGAAGCCGCAGAAGAAAGTGGACTCTTCAGGAACTGCGAGGAAGGTTAACAACAAGTCAAAAATCGGGAAAAAGATTTGCATGTGTAATAATGTTCATAAACATTACTAAAGTACCACCTTGTTTACATTTTGTACAGAAACTGATGTCCTTTCACAATTCATGGGGGTACCTTTTTCCTGAAAGAGTTGTAAATAGATCCAGGGAACAGCAATACATATCTTTGCTGTCATTGTCTGCAAACTGGCGAGTCCACTCAAAACCAAGTTTTGGCTGGATGCCAGGAAATAGCATCACTCGTTGATGTATCTCTGAGATCTGTATGGTCAGATCTCTTCTCCTGAGTTCCCAGGTTTATCTACCTGAGACAAACCTTAGACATTCTACATGCACTGGAGTTTTAGGCCTCATTCACACTGCCGTGCATATATGTGCGTATTGTACCATATGCAGCATATGCAAATAAATGGCTCCATACACATAGCTGCGTATGGAGCCTTATATTTGCGCAGCGTAAAAATGCACAGAAACAGAATGGAACCGAGATGTGTCCGGGCAGCGTATTTCTGCGTATTTATGTGCATTTACACATGTTTACGCACATACACGCGTACAGTTCATTAAAATTTCTATTATGAAAAATGCATTCTGGGATTGCATATAGTGCACATATATACTCACATACGCGCGTATATACGCAATATACAATTTTGCTCTTGCGTTGTGTGTGAATGAGGCCTTAAAGTGATATTAAATGCTAGGAGTTTCTTTTTCACTTAAAGTGATATTAAACCTTAATTTAATAAATAACCATGAAGAGGTAGACCCCAGCACTTACCTTGTTTGCATGTTGGTTTTCTTTTTTGTTCTGTGGCTGCTTCCAATCCCTGCAGTGAAAAATCCCTGCAGTCTCCCGAAAGAGCCACCTGTGCGTGTGCGCTCCCTGCTCAATCCATGGTAGAATCTCCATTGAAGATTATGGCCCCAGAGGCAAGCCACTACCCGGCTCCTCCCTCCGGTTGCTAATTGACAGTGGATGGAGCCTGCACTCTCTCTGGTTTATGGTCACCCGGACTACCCAGAAGTGTGAGGGTAGCAGTGATGTGGACCTGGAGCTGCTGCCGGTGAGAAGTTAGGGTAATTAAATATTTGGGCACTTATTTAAGAAAAACATGTACTGGTTAATGTTTCACTGCTTGACATTACCCAGTACATTTTAAAAAGGCAGAGGGTTTAATACTTTAATTCATTCTCTGCATTAAGGTTAAAAAAATGCCCTGTACCTTTCCGTGCCCCCCTGTCCCCAACACTTACCTGTGGTCCTTTGTCACTGCCACTGAGTCTATGCTATTCCCTGAACTGCTGGGTTGTGGAGGATGGTCCTAAAGGCAGTGGAGCACTAGACTCCTTTAGCCATGAGTCAAATTTTGGGAGGATAGCAGTGGAGGGAGAAGGGGTGTGGCTCTACAGCCATAGATTATGTCTATGGAAGCACACAGGTTGATGTAGGTCACAGCCAGGGACATGCACGCACAGGTGTCTCCTCAGTAGTCGGCTAACTAGAAGAGACACCCACAAACAGGCCAGGGAGACCGACTGGAGGAGAAAAGAGACCATTTTTAAAAGAAAAGAATCAGATAATGTAAGTGTAGCCCTCCTCTAAAAAAAAAAAAGTTTAATATCACTTTAATTTATTTTACTTATCAGAGAATGCAATGAGTGACATTGACATTCCTTGATGAAGGGGATACAGTGGGGAACTCTGATGGGTATATCTCTCCTTTTGGGTTTCTTAAGAGATATTAGAGGATGCTGCTATCCATGAGCATCAGTGTGTAGTTAGTATATAAGTTTAGGTGGAGCTCACTTTTAAAACTGGAAAATGAATATTGCTACTGTAAGTTTGTATGATATTTTGCTTTGCTCTATGATTTGCACATAAATAGTCAGCACTGTACAGTGCTGTAAAAGATAAAATGCTATTTTAGATATTTATATAGAAACATAAAAAAGATTGATGAGTTAATATCTAAGGAAAATTATGTTTATTCCTTAAAGAGTTATCACACGTCTGGCCTGTATAGCAGTGCAAGGAGCAATGATGTGCTTTAGACTATAGCAACCTATAAAGGTCCAGCTTACAAATGATTGAGAAAAATGAAATATAATGTCTGATTGGTTGCTGCACATAGCTAGGATGTTGCATCTTCTCTTTGCCTTAGTTGGTAAAGGCAACGGTTACGGTTATAATCGTTCCTATTATTTACAGGGTGACTTGTGGTTGCTGACATTACACTGTAGGTCAAAGGTCAGCTATGGCTGGTACAACTGTTGCTGACCTTTTGTAAAGCACTCATACACGTGCCATTGTACGGTGAGTAATGATGTAAATCTGCACTTTTAGGGATTGCCTTTCTTTAGTAAGAGTAGGTATTTGTAAAGCTATTTTAGAAATAATTGGTATTGAATTCTGTGTTATAGAAGGCTCCAAACTATTGTTATAAGAGTATATTTGACTACATATTCATCAATATGGAATGAACATGGAAAGCGATTTACCATGCATGACCCTTTGTGATATCAGTTCCTGAGAACTTAAAGTGAAACTATGGCCAGATTATAGACATTCAAGTATTTGCATATTCTTAACAAACAGAAAATTAGCTTTTAAAGAAACCATTATTGACCCCTGGGGGTACAGATACCATGGAGCAATTCACCCTCACAGCAGAAGCACTAAAGCCGTTCAAGTCATTCTCACAGGCAGCTCATTCTGCTCCCCCCTACTGGGCCACCTGCTGTGTGTTTACATTAGCCCTCATTCACACCTCTGTGATGTAACATTGCAGAGGTGCTGCAGGGTGTTTTTTTGGTGTGCTGCAGCTAAATCGCACTGAAAGAAGTACATGCACCTTTTGTTTTTAAATTGCATCACACCACATCCCATGGTAACAGGTCACCGTGCAATTAGATGGCTAGATGCATTGGGGTGCCATTAAGAAAAAATGGCACAGTAGCGCAACTAACATGAAATGAGGTGCTGCGTGTGGAATTACGCCCCCCCCACCCCCCACCCCATTGCATAGATGTGAACGGAGCCTTGGAGATTAGAAGGCTGAAAGTTTGCTGTGAGAGTGCGAGAACATCAGTTATTCTGCTGTGAACTTTGAGCATGAATTGCTCCACAGTGCCTAAAGCTACAGAGATTAGTGGTGGCTTGTTTTTAATATCCATAACCTGGTCATAGGTTCACATTAAACATCCACAGGTGATTAAGTTGCTTGCTATAGAGCCACATGGCTGATTTTGTCAAGTGTTGCTTTCTTGTACGTGCCCAAGTAGATATCAAGTTTGCGTGGACTGTGGTAGGTTGAATCAACCACTGGCTTTTTAGGCTGCCAGTAGACAGGCAGAGTGAGTAAATCCATATGCAATGTGCCCGTAATTCTCTAGATTCCATACCACAATGAAATAAAGTCAAATAACAAAATGATTACTATTTAAAATGTTACATACTCTAATATATCATTACTGAATTTCAGATGTGCACAAACCTGAGTCTTTTCAAACAAGTTTGCAAATGTTTATTGAATCCTTACCTTTTAGGGCTAGTCCAGTCTTACAGAAGGTACATTTTTATCCAGGGTATTTACACTAACTGAAGAAGAGACTGTAAAATTATGATAGAATAAGCTAAACTTTTATCCAGCCGTCCCAAAGACTTGATTGGGGTAGTGGTGGGGGGTCACATGTATGCCTTTATTTATATATATAGATATCTATATATATATAGATATCTATATCTATATATTTACAGTATATATACCGTGTTTCCCCGAAAATAAGACATTGTCTTATTTTTTTTTTGCACGAAAAACGACACTAGGTCTTATTTTGGGGGGATGTCTTACCGGGCTGGGGGAGGAGTACTCACAGGACTGGACGAGGTCCCGGAAGGCGGGCGTGCTGTTGCCGGTCCCGGTGTCGAAGTTGGCGGATGATATGCCGCTTCCATCGGTCATGTGGGCGGGAGCTGCGGCCGGCTGGCGTGTGGGCAGGGCAGGAGCTGCGGCCGGTCTTTACATTTAAAATTCAGTTATATGTGTAGCTACCCCGAAAATAAGACCTAGCGCTATCTTCAGGGATTTCTGTAATATAAGACCTACCCCGAACTAGGTCTTATTTTCGGGGTAGGTCTTACTTTCGGGGAAAATCGGTATATGCAGATTATTATTTGAACCATTGTCTAATGGTTGTGTAAGATTAAACATGTTTTATAATTATATTTGGAGTCATCCTGTGCAATATTACGCCTCACTCTTTGATGGGGAAACCATGCCGTTTGATGCCAAGCCCTGCATCTGAGTTATAAAAGGTTCTATAGCCCTGCCAAAACTGGAAATGAATGGGTATTGATTAGTAGAATTATAGGAATTTGTGGGAAGAAAAGGGTCTTGCTGATGGACTCCCTTACTTTCTTACCATATCCCCCACTCATTTATGAATGCGGACCATGGGTACACTTACATATCCATGACTAAAGAAGGAGGAGGTTCTTAAGTGCACCAAAAAAGGTAGAACTTTATTTCACTATGACCTTAATTTTGAAAAACAGGGATAAAATATCGAACATACTACCTGACTAAATGAAAAAAATTAATATTCCTGTATTCCTATATTGAGAAAGACTATGAACAGCATACTGAAAATAAAGAAGACTATAATATTTTTCTATAAATACATTTCAGCATATATAGCAGATAGTAGTATGAGACATGAGCATTTGCAATCAATTGAACATATATGCCATTCATAGCGCATAGAACTTAGACTTTTCATAAAGGGTTTCCAACACTTACCAAAAACTAACCCTTGTTTCAGACCCTTCTATGTTGTTAGAAGAAGTGGAGCTCACCCCAGGGGATACATTACTGTTTAAATTCCTTTGTAGATCAATCCCAAGTATTTACATAGAATCCCACTTTCTGAGCATCATTATACCTGAATGGTCAAGTTGAAATTCCAGACCTCACTGGTGCACGTAGGAGGTTCAGATTGGACATGTTTAGTTTTAAGCTAAAATACTATTTAAAATTAATTTTACACATAAT